TTCATTTTTCCCCTACTCCAGGAAATTTAAAAGAAAATTACAATTTTTGCCTGGCATGCTTCATTCAGCCTGTATAAGAGAGGCATCAAGAGATGAGTTCTGTTCTCAGTTTTACCATCTAAAATATTAATATTCATGTATTAATATATGTAAATATACAGGGCTAATGCACATGCACACAGAGTATATGCTAATATACTGGAAGAAATTCCAGTATAATATATGTTAATATATATGTTAATATACAGGCCTCCCAGCAAAAAGGTTAAATGAGAAGTGTTAAACTCTTTGGATTTAATGAAGCCAACATTTCACTCGTTCTTTTGTGGAAACCAGATACCTGAAGGGCTGGTTTTTGGTCACATTGTAAATGTCACTATTAACTACAGCAGAGTACGTAAACAAACAAACAAGCAAACACACACACACACACACACACACACACGGGCACACTTAACATTCAAGAATTTTGTGTTCAGGAATTTACTTGTTCAGTTTCACTGCCGACTGGTGTTGACAGCCCTTCCATGAAGAAAGAGAGGTAATGAGATACCTGACAAAGAGACTGTGTCTCTTCTTGTTCCCTGAAGCATTAGAAGTAGGAGTGGAGAACCTCTGGTGGTTCCACATCTGGGCATAGTTTCCTTCTGTTACTTGCTGTCAGTCTCTGGAGATAAGAGGATATTTAAAGGTATTTTAAATTTAAATACACGGCGTGGAATTTAGCTTTGCTTTGGAGGCCTGAAGGGCCAACTTGTAAAATGCTAGAATGGTGTTCTGCAGGCCTGAAGGTTGTTGGATTAGAACTGCAACATAGGATTGAACTGTGCCTTGTATGCCTACGTGCAAAATTGGTCAGAATTACTTCTGATTGTGCCCACTTCGCTTTTGCTGTGCCTGCACTATCCTTAAGCCTAGCTGATGCCCTTGGCCCCAGACACTGGTACAACCTGATGCCTTAGACACTTCCCAAATTAGAATTTGGCCCAGGCTGGGGGGAAAAAAAAATCCCAGCTTTGTTTTAAAGGAACAGTAGGATGATCTGGCAACCATAGTCCTTTTGGATTGTCGACAATGATTGATTGATTGATTTATATACCACCCATCTAAAACGTGTCTACTCTATGTATGTAAGGATAAGAGTAAGCAGCACTTGATTTTGATCTTATCTTTCCTCGCAGGTGGCTCAAACACTTTTTGTTGATATACAGAGGCTCACTATAGACTCCCTGGGTAAACTAGGGATGGTTGCAGGAAACTTTACAGCTGGAAGGATATACTTAATAACAATGTAAAAACTATTTGCTTATGGAATGACAATATTGCCAAGCATTACAAAGGACTACCCATTTCCTGACTGCTGAAAAAAATTCCAGTATTACAAAAAAACATTGTTATATAAATAATAAAGAACCTGCTTTCATAGGTGTATATAATACACATATCTAATAACAGTTTCTTTCTGGGGGATGATGTGCAAGTTCCATATTCTCCAGTCTCAAATGGTGTCCAGGCAGATGCTGTCCAGAAGTCTTAGCCACTCAGAGTGGTCGCATAGACCAGGTGGGCGGGATACAAATCACATCAAATAAATAAATAAATAAATAAATTACAGAAAGGAATATTCTACCTGTGAACACGGAGATTGCCTTTAGCTGGCCTGTTGTTAGCTAATGAGAGAAACATGCAATTCACAAATTTCTTTAATTTTGATTTGGCATATTTTAGAAGAGATAAAATCTGCTGAGCTTGTTTTATGACACTCCACAATATTCTAAGACATAGCTGTACTAAGCATTCAATTTGGAAGGTAGGCACAGGGCAGAAGCGGTTTTCTAAATGGATAACTATGGTGTCTATCCTATAGTTAACTGTGTGACAAGAAAATGCTATAGGTGAATGTGAAGGAAAATGACCTAGGAATATAACTTTTAAGATTATTTTTTTACTTTCAGACTTGGGGAGAAAGGTGTGTAGTCCTGGTTCTCAACATCTGAAAACAGTGGTTTTTCATATGGGTCTTTCATCAGTAGATGTAGGTCTAAAGTTTTTCCTGGAATTCACTATACGAACAGATGCACCTCTGCTCTTCTCCTTTGCACCTGGATAGCTCAGCACTAGAGTATGTATCCACATGCAGAAGGTCCCCATTTCAGCTATTGGCATCTCTAGGTAGGACTGGAGAAATTCCTACCTGAAACCCCCAAGACCTGTGCCTGCCAGTATCAACAATATTGGAACAACTATCTGAGCATAAAGCAGCTTCTTATATTCTTGGCTTAAGCTTTAGTGTAAAGAGTTAATCACCTGCCAAGGCCATATCTTGCTCAAAAGAGCATGAAGATGCTGCCACAAAACAACTGAGATTCTCCTTGGCAAACAGTGTGAAGCATTAGAAATTGATCTGAGTAACTGGTAGTATTTTCAAATTTTCATCAGTATGAAATAACTACTGAGAAATTAACAAGCCTCAATCCCCTAATGGTAGTAACTCCCTGTTGTATAAAGCTTTTGCTGAGTTCTGCAGATTAAGGTGCTGTTCAAGGCACACGGGCCGGCCAGACTAGGCATGTTTGTTTGTTTGGGAACCAAATCTAAGAATCTGAAAGAGATTTGCACCAGAATACCATTGTGAAAATCTTTCTGGGCAAGTTCAGAAGATATTCATACACATTGGAATTTTAAGCTTATGTCTATCCCGTCCGATATTTACATCTAGCTGTGGGTTGTGGACCTCGGGATTTTTAGATTTCACAACTTTGTACATTGTACTTTTTAGATTTCACGACTTTGTACAACCTCCATTCAGTGAGAACAGAGGGAGGAAAAATGGCAGCATAAACTTTTAAATCCAAGGCTTTAATTAATTAGTTTGATATAATGAGACTAGGATATTTGGGTGCTGTTTTTGGACAGCCAGGTGTGACTTACATTTAATATATAAATAGGTGCCATTTCTGAAGTTTATTGGAGAGCTTTAGCAAAACATTTGCTGTCCCCTGTTATGTAAACATATAAAAATTGGAAGTCTATTAATCTGTATTTGGCTTTGCTGTGACAGTGTTCAAGATATTGGCTGAAATTTTGTTAAGTAGCTACTCCCATGTAAATTGATTTTATGATGGCATAACGTAATATTACACTTTAAAGAACAGAATTTTGGCCAATATATATAATGTGCATTATAGGGACTTTTTCAGAAAAATAGCTACACAGGTTGTTCCAACATGAAACTTTCAGAATCAAACCAGAGATATGATAGCACCTTTCTATATACTGTAATGGATTTATTCTGGTGTCAGTGTTCGTGGATTAACTCTATTAGTTGTAAATGTGCTACAGTGTAACACAGGATAATGTAGCGCTATAGTTCTCAACAAACAGCATGTGTGCCAGTGGTAGGACACAGAACTACAGTAGTCCAGCTGGGTTGCAGGATTTTCAGTGCTAAGAATAATATTGCTGCATATTTTTAAACATTAGAAGTAAAATTTATTAACAGTACTATTACAACTTTCAATGGCTAATAAAGTTAATGTTTTATTTGTATGTTGAGTAGTACTAGTGGAATATTTATGTCATTAAAACTTACTGCAGGTGACAAATTGTAATGACAGAACAGCTATAAACATATAAACATGCTTGAGTAAAAAAAAAAAAAGATCATTCCCAACACAGTGCGATACAGATTTTTTGAGAGAGTGATTGGTGGACTATAACTTACGAAATGTCGAGAACCCCTGGCATAAGCTTATTTAACATGCTCTAGAACATAGGTTCCCAAATGTTTTTGCCCTGTAGACCACTTGCCGACTTATTTGTTTTCCACAGACCCCCTGCCTACCTAATATTGCATTTTCCTAAACCTATTAATGTGTTCAAACGTGTTTTAAGGGTTTAAGTCCGTACACACACGGTGTGTGTGTGCCGTATAGCTCAGTAATGAGAAATGACCAAATGTTGTCGATCCCATTTACAACACACCAACATTTACCATAAAAATTTACCAGTAATTTTACAAATTTACACATGAATGTAGCACACCGCAATACAGATAGTACATAGTACCTAATTAAATAATATTATGAAATATTATGTACACAGAATCTGTGTTTGGTGTAATTACGGATTGCTTAAATATTTATTATGATCTGCCTAATGGGATCTGCTCACATAGACCCCCATTTACATCTCGTGCACCCCCCAAATTTTTCTCTCTGACGTGGAGCCCCTGCAAGTCGAAATCAACCCCTGGGGGTCCATATAGACCACTTTGGGAACCTATGCTCTAGAACATCTTTTATTTTGATTGCAAGTTTTAATTGAAAATTTAAAAATCTGGAAACTCGATTAATATGAAGATACTTCTTTGTCTAAATAAACCACGTTCTAAGCAGAGGAGCGCACAGCCTAGATTAATTATTTTGAGGCCATTTTGCCTGCTGACCTGTGGATATGGTTTACACCCTTCCTTCCTTTTTAAAGCTCTTAAACTTCTCGACAACGAACGGTACTGCACATTTTTCCTGTCGAGCAAGCTTCTGAGTTACACAGGAGTCTATCCCCTAGAAGAGAAAGTTAGCCAATTTTGATCGGGAGAGGGAGCCAAGAATTCCCCTTCCCCCATGTCTGTGATGAAAAGTGTCGCTATTAAGTACAGTTTTTTTTTAGTTTTACGATGCCGGAACACCTTCTTCCACCGTACGATCCTTCCAAAATTGGGAAGCTTTCCGAGCTTTTCCGCCCTTCGGAGAGGATCATCCTTCGAACGAGACGAGCCCGGAGGATTTAACCGCGCGACCCGATCTCCCGAGTTGTGAGGATGCAGCCTTTCCTCGTCAACTTTTTAATTTCACCAACCCTTCTCTGGGCTTTCCCCCCACAGCGGTGTGAGAGTGACACCAATTGCCGCTGAAGAGCTCAAGGAGGGCGCGGGGAGAGGAGGCGGCGGCGAAGGGAGAGGGAGAGGGAGAGTATCATGTGATTCCCTCGCCTGCTCCTTTAAAGCCGCCACATGCAGCCCAGCGGCGGCCACAATCACAGCTCCCGGCAGAGGAGGAGCCAGGTCCGGGCTTGCCCGGGCAATCAGTGCTGACTGCGCTCGCCTTTCTCTCTCCCCCCCCCCTTCCCATCTCTTGGAGCTTCAACTTTTATAGCCGCCGTGGCCGTAGCTAAAGCACCGGGGGAATCGCTGCAAACATGGCTGGGGCAATTATCGAGAACATGAGCACCAGAAAGCTCTGCATTGTCGGCGCGATCTTGCTGGTCTTCCAAGTCGTCGCCTTTTTGGTGGGAGTCTCTATCGGTAAGTGTGCCCGGAGGAAACTTTCTCTCCTTCCCGTCGTCGTCGTCGTCGTCGCTCCAGTTCTCCCCGTTTAGGCTCTCTTCTCCTCTTCCTGTTGTTTGGCGACTTGTTAACTGTATCCCCTGCCTTTGGCGCGCTGATCTAATTAGCCCGGCTATTGTAGGGAAGAAAAGAGCGCGCCCCGCCGGCCTCTTCGTGCCCACTGCGCTCGAGTGGCTGCCAGGGAAGAGGAAACCCCCCCGGGGGGGCAGTCGGGAGGGGGCGAAGTGGATTCCCCCCCCTCCCCACGCACCCCAGATTCCAGGGGGGGTCTGCTTCAGAAAGGCGAACCTCTTTTTAAGCATGGCGACTGGGTTCCTGCAGGAAAGCTTTGGGTCGAAAAGTTGCTTTCGACTCTTCCCCACCCTTTCCTTAAGCCGTCCTCCTCCTCCTCCTCCTCCTCTTGTTCTTTCTCTCCAGCTGGGCTGCAGGAGGAGAGACCTAATCGCTTTCAGATAAATGGAAGCCTTCCAGCCCACGAAAGGAATGTTCCTCCTGCATTGTGCTGCTTCTCACTTCGTGGTGTTTTCCCTCCCTCTGGTTCTTTCTCTCTCTTTCTCGGGAAGCACGACTGGATTTTGCTTAGGCGGCCTTTCTTTAGATTGGATTTCAGGCTGTGAAAGGTGGTGGAGAAGGGCTGAAGGCAGAATGGGAGGAGGAGGAGGAGGAGGCTCCTCAGAAGTAGAAGAGAACGGGTGCCCCCCCGACCCCACCCCGCAAATACTCATGGGGAGTGTACAGTTTTGCTGAAGGCTCTTTAAGCCTCTCCGCTTCTTGGCCCCTTTCTCTTGGAGTCTTCAGCTGCATCCCTTTTTAAAAATAAAACTTTTTAAAAAAAAACTTGCCCTAATCTTGTTACTTGGTCAAGATCTTTCTTTGGATCAGAATTCTTTAGATAAGGTTGCTTTTACTTTTTTGGAAATATCCCTCCCTTGCTGTTAAAAGTGTACTGCAGGCATGCGGTGATGCAGAATAAGCCATCTCCCCATAGCTTTGTGATTTCTTGGGACGCGGGAAGAAGATTTCTTCCGGGGACCCCAGAAAAGGGCTTCTCCAATCTCTCTCTTCTTGAAACTTTTAGGCGGCTGCTTCTAGAGCACAGTTCCTTTTTGAAATACCCTCTTCAAATAATGCTAAAATGTTTGGAGCTTGGAAGCATAAACACACCCGTTTCTAAATAATTTCTACCTTTGTGGTCACGCTGTTAGCAAAAGTTAAAATAATCCTAGTTTTACTCCACAGATAGCTTGCTGTGTTCTTTGTTTCATTTATTAAGTATTAGAACTTGAACGTCTGGGTATCTTCACATGCCATGTCCCTTCAAATGATTAACACCTAGATTGGGGGCAAAAACATTTCCAGATGTAGAATTCGCTACATTTATGAAACCAGTTGGGGTCTATATTTTCAGAGTATGGCATTGTAGGAATGCCATGCAAAGAAAGAGGGAGAGAAAACTTTATTGAAAAGCTAGCCCTGCTGAAGTTTGCTGAGCATTAAAAAATGGCTTTAGGCAGTTGCTTCTAAACAATGAGCTGAAGAGCAGTGCTCTCAGGAGAGGAGGGCTTCTCCACCTTTGTGATTTCAAACAAACACACAAAAAGCACTGGAAGTAGCTAATCTTGATCATGTAACCTTTAAATCTGTAGTTCTGGAGAAAACCTACCTGAAACCTTTCCTGTTCTTTCTGAGTCTGAAGGTCCTTTTCATAGAATACAAGTTTTTCCTCAAGACTAGACCAGCATGAATCTGCCAGACACCACTAATAAGCTGTTATGGGCAAATCTGAGACATGTTATGACAAACTTTATCCAAGTTGTTATTTCCAGGATGAAACTAGTATGTTTATCTCACCTGATTCAGTGTGGTTGGCCACTATCCCTAGACTCTAGCAAACTAATATTAGCATGCACTTAGTCTTGGTCGGGATTCTGTGTGGTGTAGCAGATGGATCAGGACTCTGGAGAACAGGGTTCAAATCTGCCTCAGCCATGGAAACTGACTTGGGGGTGGTAGTGGAAGTGGTAAAACTACTCCTTAAATGTCTCACTTACCTAGAAAGCCCTCTTAGGGTTGCTAAAAGCCAGTTCCAACTTGATGGCACAAATATATATTCAATGAAACAACTGAATATTTTGCTTTCTGTTAACATTCTCAAGATTCTTCCAGAATCCGCTATACTGATATTACATTGTTTCCAGTTAGATAATAATTGACAGCACATAACACACACACAAGTCTAGGTCTAGACATGATTTTATGTAGATTTGATATACTAGTATTACTTTGCTAAAGAGTTCACTAAAATGTCTGCCGTTTCTGTTCCTTTAGAACAGAACTGAAAAACTATTGACCCAACAGATGATTTGGATTTCAGTTTCCACAATCGCATGTCATTGGCCTTGCTTCCTGGGGTCTTCTGGGAACTGAAGTCCAGAACATCTGAAGCTCATAGGTATTTGTCCTTACTTTGGACAAAATTGAAGTTCAGTTCATTACAACTACTCTGCAATGAAATGAACATGGTTTGCATTTATCAAAGAGTTCTACACCAAAGCGTCTGTTACAGTAAAAGCCCTGTTCTTTATAGCCACCAATCTGACAATTGTTTATCATTGTGTGAACATCTTTGTAGCTTTTTGTTACAAATATCAACGATTTAATAATTGATTTTTTAGGTATCTTCTATCAGTTTATCCTTCACTTATTGCTTTGTTGGTGGAAATTGCATATAAGGATAAAAACAATTTGCAACTGATATTCCAGAGCAAAGTATTCTATTTGTTTTCTTTACAGCTGTGAACTCACTGGCTGCAGGCCTTTGCAGAACTTTTCAATTTTTTTTAAAAAAGAGATAAACATACTGGGAGCTGTGACAAACCCAGACCTACTGGGATCTGCCACACAGTTACACTAAGCTGCCACCAACCATTCCCTTTAAGAAGTCACACAGACCAGGGATGGATTTTTAAACAATAAAAGGAATAAGGTTTATTTAAATACACACAGGGTAAAATAAAACAATCAGGTGAATAGGATAAAGTAACGTGGCTTATTCTCACTCATACAAGCATACAGTTTGGTTCACACAGAACCCTTAACTTGAAGCACAGACCCTGAACCTATCAGTTCTGGCTAACCAACAGACACCTGAACCTATCAGGTTGGTACTCTGACACACAGTAGTACCCTGTCTGACACACAGACTCCCACAACAGCTTCTTCTTCCCAGCTGCTGCTTCGTCACAACCCAGTGTCTCTCAGCATCTCTTTCACACAACAACTGATATTCCAGAGCAAAGTATTCTATTTGTTTTCTTTACAGCTGTGAACTCACTGGCTGCAGGCCTTTGTAGAACTTTTCAATTTTTTAAAAAAAAAGAGATAAACATACTGGGAGCCAGTGTGGCAAGATGCGTAGATTGACAGGCTAAGACTCGGAGATCCGAGTTCAAGTCTTTGCTTGGGCATTGAAACTCACTTGGGTGGTACTAATGGCAAATGTAAAGGTTCCCCTTGACAGTTTGTCCAGTCGTGTCTGACTCTAGGGGGCGCTGCTGATCTCCGTTTCCAAGCCATAGAGCTAGCGTTTGTCCGAAGATAATCTTCTGTGGTCACGTGGCCAGTGCGACTAGACACGGAGCGCCGTTTACTTTCCCACCAAGGTGGTGCCTATTTATCTACTCGCTTTTTTTGCATTTTGCATGCTTTCGAACCGCTAGGTTGGCGGGAGCTGGGACAAGTGATGGTGGCTTACTCCGTCACGTGGATTCGATCTTACAACTGCAGGTCTTCTGACCTTTGCAGCACAGAGGCTTCTGTGGTTTAACCTGCACCACCACCACGTCCCTCTTCTTAAATATCTGATATACCTTGAAATGCTGTTAGGGTCACCATAAGATCGATGACACCACATAATATAACAGATGCAATAGAGACAGGTTTGCTTATTTTACTTTGTTACACAGAGTTTTTGGTGCTGAAATACCTTATTGCTGAGTATTCTACGTGTGTGGCTATGCTGCAGGGATGAACGGGTGTATTTTGTACCTGAGGTATAGAAACCAATAGGAAAAAACTGAAATAATCATTTGGCTTCTACTTATGGCATAGACTAGCGTTTTCTAACCCAGTGCCCTTGAGATGTTTTTGAAGTAGGGAAGTATTTGCTTTGTTCTTTCATGAAGAGCTGTAAGAATAATGTGTCATCAAGTTGATTCTGACTATTTCCAGGGTTCTCTAGGTAAAGAGTATTCACGGGTGTTTTATACTTCCTTTGAGGGAGCTCTATGCCTGTAAGGTTTACTCAGGGCTAAACAGGCCTACTCTTCTTTTGGTAGGCACATTATGGAATTGAACTACTGACCTCTGGCTCCACAATCGAGTACCACTGTATTTGTAGCCAAATGGCTTCCCAGGGACCGATCTCTGTTTTAAGAGGAAGAAGAACAGATATTAAGATTCCCAGACCTGTGGCCATTTCTCTTATGTTATGAACTGTCAAGTTAGGGCTTTCAAGGTAGGTGGGATATTTAAGGAGTGGATGTAATAGTGCCACACACACCCCTTGTGTGTTTCCATGACTGAGTGGAGATTTGAGCCAAGGCTTCTAAATTCTAGTCCCCCCATTCTATCCACTACACCACACTAGGGAGTATTTCTAATCCCTCTGAAATGAAAACATTTTTTTTCAGTTAATCTCTCTTCTAACTTACAATAAAAGTCTTTACTTTCTGTAACAAAGAGCTAAACTGCTTTGTTTGTATGTAGCTAAGACAGTTCCATGTAGTCCTACTCAGATGCAAATAAATTGATCAAATTATAAATATTTCAGGTTGATTTTTTCCCCCACAAAATTGCATCATGAAGATGTTGGCACTCCTTGCGTATACATTTAATAGGCTTCAGATATAGCAGATCCAAATGAAAAGCCCTGTAGAATCATAAGACCTTTCATGAATGATCTTTCCTAACCTAACAAACCGCATAAAGTGTGATTGCAGGGATACATGAGGGGGGAAATGCGCAGAAACAATGGTAACAAAACTGAAAAACTCAAAAGCAGATGAAAGTTACCAGAAATTCAGGCTTTAAATCTTTGGCTCTGTGCTTTTCTGGAAATAATATTGGGTTGTCGTCATCGCAATTTAGATCTAAGTTATGACAAATTGAATAGTCTGGCTGGAGTAATAGAAAGTATGCAAAAACTGATACAATAAATCTTAAGCAAACCTCAAGCTGCAAATAGTTAACATGTCCCAATTTGGGGGATTAGTGAGATCGAGATGTTCCTGGTGATTAGGTTTATATTACGCAATATGCGCCATTAGTTTTCTGTTGCAGTTGCTGGATGTGCTACTAAAAACAAAGTAGTAGAATGGATATCTAAACAGATTTATTAAGTATTTACAGCATTGATTGTGTTAATGGTACAGTATTTCTTTGGGGAGGTATCATAAGCAGCTTTGTTGTGGGTGATAATGACTCAGACACAACAAGCCAGGGAACCATGGGTAACCCTGGTTTGTGTATGAGCATGGGGCTGCTCCTTGCTGCTTAGTCGCTCCTGTTTGTAGAGGAGGTAACTAGACAAGCAGTGGAGCTTGATGATCATGACCAAACAAAGACACGTCTTTTCTTTTTTCTGCTTGGTTTATCTGTTTATCACCGGAGAAATAATTTAGGGTTTAATTTTGTTGGGGGAAAAAAAAAAACCCCAGAGAAGACAAGGTGCCAATACTGAGATAACACAACAAACCACAAAACAGAGCTCCATAATGCGTTAGTAGAGATGGGATATTCGTATTTGTCTCTCAGGGCAGACGAAAACAAATATCAGAGATGGGATATTCGTATTTGTCTCCCAGGGCAGACGAAAACAAATATCACCACCACAGGTGGCTAGGCGCTTTGGACCCACCCCCAGAGCTGGCAGGTCCATTTGTGGCTCGTGGCACATGTGGCCATCTTCATTCATGCCGTTCCAATTGCAGAAGTAGCCCAAATGTTGCTTCCTTGCCTCCCTGCGCTGCTGGCCAATCAGCAGCTGAGCGGAGAGACTCATCATCTCGCCTCCTCGCCAGAGTGTTCAGCAGCACAGGGAGGCAGGGAAGTTGCTCCTTCTGCGATTGGCATGATTTGAATGATGATGGCCCCTCACGCCGTGCTGTGAGTGGTAAGTGGGCTGACCGGTTCTGTGGAGTGGGTCCAAAGGGCCTGGCCATCTGTGATGGCAATATTCGTATTCGCCTCCCCAGGGAGACGAATACAAATATCTTATCTCTATTTGTTAGGCATTCCGTCTGCAAGCCAGAGCCATCAGGCAGCATGTATTAGCAGGCTAGTTGTTTGAAGGCTTGCACAGGCAGAGGTCTAACATTTGCTATGTTGTGCAGCTGTAGCCATTGCCCACCTTTGTGGATAGTCTCCTAATGCTTTGTAGTAGTTGCCACAGAGCCTACCATGTTTCCCCGAAAATAAGACAGGGTCTTATATTAATTTTTGCTCCCAAAAATGCATTAGGCTTACTTTCAGGGGAAGTTTAATTTTTTTCATGTACAGCAATCTACGTTTATTCAAATACAACAGCCATGTCATCTTCTGGTTGCTGCACAATGGTGGAGGGTGGGGTTTCACTTAACTGGGGCTTATTTTGGGGGCAGGGCTTATATTATGGGCATCCTGAAAAATCATACTAGGGTTTATTTTCAGGTTAGGTCTTATTTTCGGGAAAACAGGTTAGAAAGCTCCACTCATGTCCCTGACATGGCAGAGAGAACCTGGGCAAGGAACAGGTGTGTATCCAGAAAGTCCTCTGAGAACTTGAATATTTTGGTTACAGCTGCCAAAATTCCTGCTGAATTCTGGTAGCTGTAGTGGAAAAAAAATCACATGCCTAAAAGATAAAAATTTGGATCCTCTTACTACCTTTGCTAGTCACCTCAGCAGATGACCTGTATCAAGTTGCATCATCTGTCTGAAAAGCAAAGTAAAATATGAAACGTTTGTGTACTGTATTAGTTGGTTGCTGAGCAGAAGTAAGTAGTGGATCATTGTTTCCTAGTTTTTGTGCTGTCGTGTCTATACCTGCCTAGTTTATGGTGAAGCTGAGCTGACTCTGACCATCTGCTCCTTTTTTTTGTATCACAGAGAACTACAGTTTAAGTTTCATGTAAGCCTGAAAACACCGTATTTTAAAGCAGATGACCACAGATAAAATTCTCTATGTTCATTACTTGTTCTCCAGTCCTTGCTTATTTTGTTCATTTATAGTTTACTCCATTTTAGGAAACATCTGGAAGAAGCAATGAAAAGAAACACTAAAAAGGCAAAGCAGCATAAAATGAAATCAAATTAATATTTGTTATTTCCGCAGACGTTACTATTGTGACCATGCATTTTATAATCCCTGGGATGAATAACGGATTTATAAGCCAAATAGAATCTTCTGTTTTGGCGCTAGTTCAGAAGCCCCAATTCCATTATTCTTTTGGTACCTGTGACAGAATTGCATGATGGTTGCTTTTCATTTCCCCAGTTGTGAAAACTGAATAATCTCTGCTGTTGGATTTGTTTAATGGAAATATCTATCTGCTGGCATCAGTTGAAGATAATCTAGCAAAATAAAATATATTGATTATGACAGTACAACATGCGTTCATCAGTTAGCAGTGTAGTGCTTTGGTCCACAAATGCATTCAAGTTTTATTTTTGCTTATAAACCTTCATGATTTATTTTCCTGTAAATTCAAAGTTGGACAGTGTCACCGAAGCAACCAACATGAATCTGACCCAACTCCAGGAGGCGGTGGAGGATAGGAGGGCCTGGCGTGCTCTGGTCCATGGGGTCACGAAGAGTCGGACACGACTAAACAACTAAGAACGAAAATTCAAAGTAATTAGAATACAGATAAAATGTATTTCTTAAAAAAAATCCTAAAAAACGTAGAAGTATACTATTGTATGTTCTAAACACATTTACTCCAAAGCAAGATTCGCTGATTTCAGTGGTACTTGCTCCTGTGCAGCTGTGTAGTCCTAATCTACATATGCTTCCTGAGAATAATAGTAGTTGCTAACTCCCAATTCCATTGTGCATCTGTGCAAAAGCTGCCACTTTTAATGGTTAATTACTGTGAGCCAAACAGTCTTCGTATACCCAGTGTGGTGTAGGGAATAGAGTAATGGATGAGGACTCTGGAAACCAGAGTTCGAATCCCTGCTCAGCCATGAAAACTCACTGGGGGTGCAGAGCTGGTAAAACCATTCCTTAAATATTTCACTTATCTCAAAAAACTGTTAGGGTTTCTATAAGTAGGTCCTGATCTGAAGGCATATAACAACAAGAAGTATTATATTGTTCTGTGTATAAGACCCCCCCCCACTTTTCTAACCCAAAATTTCTTTCTTTGCAAGAATGTGGAGGGGGGAGGCAGGGATCAAAGTGCTTTGGTTTCTTGCTTTCCCTCTCCATTTTTTCCCCCAGAAAGCTATGTTCCCCCTCCACTTTTTGCAAAGAAACTGAAGGGGGGAAGCAGTTTCCTCACAAGAAAGTGGAGTGGGAAAGCGATCCCTGCTTTCTCCCTCCAGGTTGTTTTTTTTTTGTTTTTTGCAAAAAGTTGCTTTCCCCCTCCATTTTTGGCAAAGAAACTGGAGGGGGAAAGCACTTTCCTCACAAGAAAGCTCAGTAGGGAAAGCAGGAATCATCAGAGTCCTTTGTTTCCTGCTTTCCCCCTTCACTTTCTTGTGAAGAAGGTGGAGGGGGAAAGTAGGGATCAAAGTGCTTGGATCCCTACCCCGTACTTCCGTGTATAAAACGTAATTTTTCCTTTAATTATTTTAGGAAAAATTCTCATTTTATACACAGAAAAAATATACGGTAATCTCTGTAGCCATTATCAGTTGCACACCAAGTCACAAGACTCGGGGGGGGGGCAACAGATAATCACTGTGGAGATCTCTTAATTTACAGCAGTTTGCCTCTAAAAGTTATACCTCTTGCTTAAATGCTCAACAGGATTTTGACCAATGATTTAAATTCTGTAAAATCAGTTATTTGGGAGTTCATATCTTATTAATTTCTTTAAACACACACAAACACACACACACAAAGTACTTTTTTGAGGGAAAAGGAGAAACTCCTAAGATTGAGACTTGCAATGAGAAGAGGCTAGGATGATAAATTAGCTTGTTTATTTCTATCCTGCTGTTGGTTAGTGTAATGAAGCAGAAGTCCATTGTATGCAGTCATTTGGAGGCGATAGCTCAGCACAGAGGGGGGTAATTGGACAGAAAAGCAGAGTGCTCTCAGAGCATGGGAGCAGTTAACATCGTATGAGGTCATAGGCTTCAAGTTTTAATCAGTGTAGACACTGTGCAATTGAGATTTTTCTAAAGAACCCATTGGGGTGTGAAACAAAGGTCAGGAAATAACCTGAAATACTCAAGGAGCTGTGCAAAACAAAAGATAAAATCCCTGTTGTAGGTTTCTTTGTTAATATCAAAGTAGCTATGACTAGAAGGTTTGACTGAGCCTGTAGTGTGCTTAAATTCACCAGTGCTTAAAAGGCAGTAACGGGCTTATGTGTTTCTGCTGGAATAAACAGTAATTCTCCAAAGGTTACAGCTTACAATTTCCAAAATTTATTTTGACTTCAGGGGAAACCACAGTGGCCTGGCTTTGCAGTTTGGTTACAGACTAATATTGTGGGGCTCTCTAAGGGGAAGCTCTAGAGTTATAGTCAAAGAAGACATTTCCTAGCACTGCCTGTTTGAGCTATCCCAAGGATTGGCCCAAACTATTTTGCTGCCTGAAGTTGAGCAGGAAACAGTATTCCCATCTCCAGCCCATTAAAGATGTGAAAGTCAGCCAAGGTATTTTGCCAAGGCAGAAAATCTCTGAAGCACCTCACCATATCCCTGGTTATTTAACAAACTAAATAATAATTTAGTTGTCTCTTTGTGGTACCGCTGCCTGAAGCAATTGCCTGTGCCAGTTGGTAAGGCCAGTCCTGACTTCTGGTCATCCAGAGAAGTTATAGACTTCTGATCACAAGAATGCTGCCACCACACATCAAAGTAGAAGACTCCTTTCTCCTTGCTCTCTCAGCCCTTCTAGGAGTCGTGGTGGAAAAGCACATGCAGTGGAAGCTTTGGGGGTTTCTGCTGTTGGAACTAAATGGAGGATGCCAGCCATTTCGTTCCCAGTAAAGCACCATGCACACGCAGTTTGGGGAGGAGCTGGGAAGCAGCTGCTCTCGTCACAGCAATACCTGCTTCTTCAAGGCCAATGAACCACTGCGGTGAGATTTGGTTGAGTGGGGTAACATGTGAGAAAGCTTTTTGTGAAGGAGGAAGCTGCAGTGCCCTAATACAGAGGATGTGCTTTTGGAAAGTTCAAGCTCTAATTCTACATTAACTTTGAATCTCAGGGAATGTAATCGCAAGAACTATATTAAGGGAAGAGGAATCCTCTTAAGCATGCTTACAAGAAATCTGCCCACATGTATGCACATTCACATACAGTGACTATTGTGAACATTCTCAGGTTCATGCAAAATACATTGAGCCTTGTGTCCTTCTCTGTGGGCAATATTAGGCCAAGATCTTGAGTTTGCCCCTTTGAACAAAAGGGGAGAGTTTTCTTGTGCTGACTTCCCACTTGTGCCCCCCTCTAATTTGCCATGGATGCCAGAGGAAAATGGAACAGGGAGAGAGAGCAAAAATTACCTCTCTCCAGCTTGTGCTATTTACGTCCTCTGGTGGATCTGTATGACTTCCATAAACAAGGCTTCTTCCATGAAAGATGCCAGTGGGGTTCCAAGGGCAGAAGCTTGCCATTAATTTGATAGTAGCTTTAAAAATGCAGTTTTATTGCAAGAAATGAGCATGTATGAGTGTATAGATATTATCAAGTGTGACATCCTGAACTGTTGTTTTTTTATTATTATTATTACTAAGGGTATGATTAGTGGGACAGTAACAAAGCTGAGAAATGTGTGACCTATTTCTTTAAAATTTAACTTGATGAATTGACTGATAACACCAACAAAGGGGTACTAGCCAAAACTAAACATCTTAAAAATAAGCAAACATTGTGAAATAATAATTTTCAGACAATGAGACATCCTTGTTAGTCCCAGCTAGAATTCTGAGTTCCTTTTTTTTTAAAAAAAAAGGTTACACTCTGTTGTGTAAAAATCCACTTTTACCGAAAAGAAGTAAGAAAAACATAACACAGAAAACCGGCAGACAAAAGGCTTATTTTTAAGTTTGTTCACTATTTCTCTGTTTGGCTTAGATGGCCTGTCAAGAAGTGCTTAGAAAACCTCAGAAGGCCTTTTTTGAAGTCACTTCAAAAATATCCAGTGTGGCACTGATCGCATGGTTTCTAAAGTAGTCTTCCACTTGCCCCTTGAGTAGACTGGTCTGTTTTGTAGACATCCATTAGATAAAAATCCTGTGGAAGAGATCTCAGTCTGCCAAGAAGTAAAGAGAAAAAAGGTCAGTGAACCTGAATCCTGCCATCATGTTAATCAAATTAAATCTCCGTCACGTATCTCTCATGCTGTGGCCAATTAGAGCTTTGTTGACTGTGAATGGGAAACAGTGGAGCTGGTTAATAGCGGGTCCTCCAGTTGATAAAGACTTTTCACATTTAAATTGATAATTTTCATTGGTGAAAGGTAGAGTATCAGATGTCTAGTTAACCTAGTACATACACAGCAGATACACTGGACTACAACTTTTATCATCCCCTGGTAGCACTGACCATTATAAAGGTTGATAATTATGGTTATTAATGGCACTCTTTTAATGAATTGCAGAGCTAATGTTTCATGTTTCACACAGACTGCACAGTTAGCATAAAAATGAACAAGTTGATAACTTTGTAGATAGAGAACACGTAAGAATGAAAACTTCAGGTTTTCTTGAAATAATATAGAGAGTGTGTTCTAAATAGTATAGTCTCTCTGATTTGGATAATCAAGGTGACGGTCACCTGGATTTGGTAAAATGTAACAAAAAATGAAAACGAGTACAGTAGTGAAGACATGAAAATGAATTACTGTATTTCATGTAAACATTCATGGGTTATGAACCACCTCTGTAGGGACATCTTTGTCTGCCAAACTTTGTTGTAATAACAGTTGTTAAACATGCTAAATCAGACTAAGATAGTTACTTCAGAAGACTGCTGCAATGAAAGCTACTAAGTTTTTTTTATCAGTCACTAATCTGTGATTTCAAGATATGTGGTCCTTAGGGATTGCTCCCACCCTGCTCCACCCGTGGTCTTTTGTTCTATTTAATTTTCCTCTGAAATCGACCAAGCAAGATAGCTTTAGATTTTATTGCCAAACAAATCCCCAGACATCTAAAGGGGCAAATTATTACCACCACTTTGCATGAATAGTTTGGACTCAGGCAATACCCTTTGAAGAGACATTCCAGACATACCATGCCGATAAAACTCTGTGAGGTCTTTTGTATTTCAAGTAAAAAGTGCTCAGGTTTTTTTTAAAAGCTGTTCTACAGAAACCAGTCACCCCACCTCCATCCTCCAAACGCAATCTGACTTCAGCTGTTTTCTCATTATGTTAAACCCAGCATCCCACTGTAGGTTCCCAAACAAAGTCACAGCTGTGAAGATTGTTCATGTATTTTATTAATTGTCAAGGGTTGTGCTTTGGAGCACCATTATCATTTGGCTTTCGTTACAGGTTTGGTTTTTTTTTCCCATTGAGTGGGTCAGACCAAGTGGGGGAAAACAGGGGCTCTTTGGCAGCCAGATCTGTTAATGGGATCCCAAACAGTGTTACTTGAAAAACATTGCTTAGTCAGAAGAAGGTGCCCAAGCAGGACATGATGTCTTTATTCTCATTTTTATACTGTCACATGTTCCATGGCCAACAGTGGTTGGATGCACAATGGACAAAGTGTAATCTTTTCTAAGAAGTTACAAATGAACAGCTTGTAACTTGGAGGTCTGTGATTTCTTGGAGGGTGGCAGAAAAAGCTGAGAAATCTGGTTTTGTTTAATTTATCTTTTTCTTTAAAAAGCAGTTACTGAGTTTTTTTCTGCCCAAAGCCTGCCCCCTCACATGTCACTAAAGAATAGAAAACTTGTGGCTCTCCATAAGGTATTGGATTCCAGCTGGATGTGGATGATAGGAGTTGGAATGTAACAGTATCTGGAGGGACAGTTTCTCCGATTCTGCTTTAAAGAGTGCTTTTTGTGAAGTGCAAAACACCACAATCTTCATGTCCTGTTACTGCATTTTGTAAAAATTAACACTGGAGAAATAGACACATTCTAGAATAGGCAGCTGTTACCAAGGTTAATTTGGTTGTGTGCTTAATTTGCCTGTGACTTGTAACATAGTTTGCAGTGTGGTTTGTGCAACATTCAGAACAAAAACGCTTGAGAACTTTTTTCCAGTTTATTTTCAGATTAAATCTACTTGTTGATCCGAACTGGAATAGTTTTGCTAAATAAGTGAAATTTGTTGGCTGGAATTCTACATAAAGTTTGCATTACTTGCTGCTGCTCATTGCTAGTGCGCCTGGTGTACATCTCTGTTGTGCAGTGAGGCGCATGATCAGACACAGAACTGAGATATGCCCGGGCACCTCGTCAGTTAGCTACATTAGGTTGTACAAGCCTTACACAAACACCAGTAGGATTCTGGCCATTAAGTCATCATTTATGTAAGCCCTGTTTACTCAGTCGAATGATTAATGACTGCAATTAGATATTTCAGATTTTGACCTGTTAGCGTTATGATGAGTGAAGTGAATCAAAGGGAATAAAGCCATGGCGCCATGGTCCAAGTCTCTACCAGGATTCCCAGCAGCCCGTTCTGTCGCCTCCCTAGCCCACGTTTGCCCTAGTTGCTTGGACAAGGTGTCTCACATGATGACCTTAGGAACTTTGATCTCAAAACAGTTTCTGCTTGATGCACAGTGCTCAGAGAATTTTTTTAAAAAAAGTATTCCTTCCCTCAAGTATTCTGGGCATACTGTACCAGAAAATTCAGTGCAGGGGAAGGGTCTGTTAAGTTGCCACATCAAACAAAATCTGTGGCCACCTGTGTTTTGTGTGTGCGCGCGCATCTGTTTCAATGAGGCTGACAGGGACATGGCTTCAAATGTTCACTAGTTGCATCCCCCAAATTTTCAAAGATCTGTTTATGAGCCAGCAGCAAACAGAATAACCCTCTGGTGGGCTAAGAGGCAGGGGAACATCCTTTTGCTTGGTTCACTGGAGCAGGTCATTGCTTGATGCACAGGCTTAGGAGGCTCATACGACCAGCTAATTGACCACAGTTACTGATACAAGTAGATGCTCCCTGGGACAAAACAAAAGACAGGATGTGTGGAGCCAGTCATTGACCCTTTTGAGAACCATATGGCTATTTTGTGTCTCCAGTTACAGTGGAATCCCTCTTCTGTCCTCTAATCCTCCTGTGATCACCCCTATGACTGGCATAGGTTCAGCAGTATTTTAAATCTCTTGGATAACCATGCTTTTTCACTACAGTGTTTTAATCTGTTTTACCACCAAAGTTAAAAAGTCTGTCAGCTACCAGTTTCTTTGGGGACACAATTTAATGTACTTGTTTTAATTGCTGCAACTCCAAAAAGCCGGGGCATGTGTGACGTGTTGTCCCTTATGCAGTAAAGTGATAAGAGTCTTTGCTCTGTATAATTGTTGTCTGCAAACTGAAAATAGCAGCAAGAAGTAAGACTTTATCAGTAATGGTGCCTATATTATAAACTTCCCTGATAGCTTTTTGAGGCTAATTCTGTTGGCTTTAAATTTATTTTCTAAAAATGTTTGTTCTAGAAAGCATTTTGGGACTAAATTGCTGAATTGATTCTTGCTTTGTAGGTGATGCTATGTTGTTACTGCAGGTTTAAGATCTATCTTAGCTATTTTTGTTTCAGGATGATGAATTTTTAATGTATGCTTGTTCAAGTTTTCTTGCATATTATAAGGAGTCTGATGTAGGTTATAAGCTCTGAAAGGGACTCTTACTTGGTCAAGCAAGGCTTGGTCTATTCTGTGGGTTTCAGTTGATTGATTGGTCTTTTATAAAATCTGCATTAGTTTTATATGCACAAGTCAGTAGTTTAAGTATGAAGCATAAACATTCTTTTTGACATTTTCCTCTGATAAAATGCATGTACTGTTTTCCTGACTTCTCCTGAAGGAAAAGGTTCTGTTGAAGGTTCCAACATGACCCTCTGTATTGAGTAAATTGTAAGCTTGAGATTTGCCAATCAAATTTAGAAGAGATCTCAGATACGTTCCAGGCTAGCTCTCCACCAATGCAGGATACCTACCTACCTACCTACCTACCTACCTACCTACCTACCTACCTACCTACCTACCTACCTACCTGGATACCTACCTACCTACCTACCTACCTACCTACCTACCTACCTACCTACCTACCTACCTACCTACCTACCTACCTACCTACCTACCTACCTACCTACCTACCTACCTAGCTTTTATGAATCATTGTATAATATTATTCCAGATACTAAAAATGTGTTTTGTATCTATATTTTTTTTCTTCTCAGCTCCAAGTCCTACCACAGCTGTGCCCTATGTGGCAATCAAGTGCATAGACATGCGGAAAAACCACCACAAGACCAAATGGTTTATGCCCTGGGGACCTAACCAATGTGAAAAAATCAGAGACCTGGATGAAGCTATGAGCAGGCAAATTGAAGCCAATGACATTGTATTTTCGGTCCATATGCCTCTCCCCAACAAGGAGATGAGCCCTTGGTTCCAGTTTATGCTCTACATGTTACAGATGGACATTGCCTTCAAGACAGACAATCAGATTAGTAAGTACCTGGAAAAACTGTCAAGTTAATGTTGCCACATTAGGAAGAACGAAGATGCAAATGAATCTGTCTTAAAGTCAGTGTGGAAAGCAAAGTGTGAAAGCAAAGAAGTGCCTTATTTCAGTTATCTTCCCTCAAGGTTCTGACATCACTAAATTACCAAGACCACTTGGAGACATTTTTCAGGCAGGAACATGGAAACCATCCCTGATCAAAGGATGGCACTGTGCATCAAACTTGGCTGGAAGTCTTTCCAAAGCATTCCTTCTCTTTCCCTTCCACATACTGTAGGACTGAAAAATTTGGTTACCAAGTCACCAGGCAAGTGAATTTATAGCAGCATTGCTTTGTTCTCAGATTGATGCACATTGGCCAGTTACTGGGCAGTGTTCTCTGCTCTGCTCAGTGCTGCAGAATCTCCTAGCCCAGGTTCACGTCCATCTCCCACACCTATATATGTGCACCAGTGAGCATAGCTAGTCATGTTGTTCTTTGCCTCTTCTTTCACTACATCTGGTTGGATGATTGCATCTTTGTCCCCCTTTCCTATTTCCACCCCACCCCAGCAGCCTCCTCAGAGCAGATGGGTGGCAGTTCTCCTGGATCCCCTGTCCTGCAGCCTCCTCTGATAACCTGGATCACATTAGGTGGCTCATCAGTAAAGCAAATAATATGAATCCTAGAAATGATGAGCAGAAAGCTACACTTGCCTGGGTCTTGTGGTGGGGAAAAAAAGTCTTATTCCCCCCACCCCCACCCCCCGTTAAGTCTTAGATACTCAGTTCTGTGTATTTTGACCATACTGAGCCCTGTGTTGGTCTCCAACACAGTTTCATCAGTAAAGCTTTTTGCAGAGATCAAGGTCCACCTTTATTTTCTGAAATAACAATACTCTATTTGAAACACTAAGACTTTGTGAAATCTTGTGTGTGTCACACAGATTTATTTTTTTATTATAGGGTCACTTGTCATAGTGGGATTGTTTGAAACTCTTAAGTTCAGTATCCAAACTTTGTTGGATTCAGGTTGCTTAGAAGCTATTAGTGCTTTAGAAACAACTCTGTAGCCCTGTGCTGGTTTTGTGTTTTTAAATAGCAGCACTCTTGTATGTTACTACAGCACCAGTAGAGTAATTGGCAATGCTCTCCAATGAATGTAAAAGAGATTGCAGCACAGTTTTCTTAGCATATTTTTGCCGATGTCATGGATCTTAAGTATGGTACAGGGGTAATGAACCTTTGGGCTTTGGAGTTAAATCCCCAGAAGCCCTATGTTTTTGCTTTAAAAATCCATTTCAGTTCAACAAGTATAAGTTTTTTTTTCAAGAATCACTGAAAGTATACAGAGGTGGGGAGATGACTCCTAAGAATGATCTACATATTTTCTCTTTTTTAATCACGGAATTACAGTTTGCTGCTGATGGAAGCAATAGCTTCCCAAATCCCAAATATCCTTTTCCTTTCTGTCTTGAGTAGAGCAGAGTGTGATCTCATATTCAAGGACAAACATAAGGGCAAACATGAAGATGAAAGTCACTTCTTGAGATCATTGTTGGCTTGATTCTCCTACTCTAATTTAAGTGGATACAGCTCTGCCGTGTCTGCTGTTTCTAGATGCTGAATGAGACTACAGACTGGCCGGAGTCCAGGCCAGAATTCAGTCTGGCAGCTTTCCTGATTCTGTATGATTCATTAGTCATTCAGTGCTCCCCCTATCTCTGCCCATGTTTACATTTCTGCTGACATTTTAAGTAATAGCTGACAATGGTCTGTAAATGTATGGAACCATCCCTAACAAGTATAAGTCAGACACTGAAATATGCATCCCTTAACATGTGTGGATCCCTATCAATCAGTAAATCATGTGTTCTCCCCTCCCCCCCATCCCAAAATGTGTCCTGCCAAATAGGAGCATATTTTAGGTTGCTCTCCTCATCTCAGGAACTCTGATCTGTGCTTTGCCTAAAACTATATCCAGTGAGACTGGAAGTTGAGTCACTTGAGTCTTGGAAACTGGACTTCTTTCTTATTAGGTTAAAACATTTCACTACTGATCTAAGTAGGAGGTTTGAGAGAGGGGTCAGGAAGGCCATGCATGTACATATAGAAAATCCCTCACTCAACAGGGCTGGAGGTCTTAGATATCTGTCTCCTATTTATAGGCACCCCCTCCACAACTACCGCCCATCTCCTTCCTCTCCCTACCTTAGCCCCCGCAAACCCCATCCTTACCATAATTGGTACTGCCACCGCCAAGGTCTCCATCTGGTCTCTCCAGCCATGGCGTGTAAAAAGGGAGACTGGCTGCCCTTTGCAAAGATGGCAGCTGTGGCTTCATTTAGGGTAGAGAAGCTTCAACTGCCACCTTTGCAAAGGGCAGCCTGGTTTCCCTTAAGGCAGGCTAAGAGAATCCTTTTCCAAATAATCCCCCCACGAGTCGATGAATAACTTCATTATTCGTTGCTTCATGGGGGCAACTTCATGCCTCGTGAGTCATCAACTTTTGACAACTCACGAAGTGGGACAACTCATCAAAATGGTGAGTTGTCCCCATCTCTAGCCATGACTCAATTTCTAGATAACTTCACCTGGATGACTGAGTACAGTGGTGCCCCGCAAGACGACGAAATCGCATCACGACGAACTTTTTGTGATCGCAAAAGCGATCGCAAAACAATGTTCCCTATGGGGGGATTTCGCTTTGCAATGATCCATTCCCTGCTTTGGGAACCAATCATCACAAAGCGATGATTTTTTAACAGCTGATCGGCAGTTTCAAAATGCCTGCCGGGTAAACAAAATGGCCGCCCGCTGTGTTTTTGCACAGCCGCGCTATGGAGGATCTTCGCTGGACGGTGAGTTTGAAGCCCCTAGGAACACATTAATCTGGTTTTAATGCGTTTCTATGGGCTTTTTAAAATCGCATCACGACATTTTCATTCTACAGCGATTTCGCTGGTACGAATTAACGTCATGATTGCGAGGCACCACTGTATCTTTACAGATATATCCAGCGAGCTTCTTGGCTGCGTGGGGACAGTGTGTATGCTTCTTATCATGGCTCCCTTTAGGGTGCAATCCAAATGGGTACATTAATAGTGACTAGAATATACCAGACCATATCTTTTTCCCCAACATGCAGAATTCAAAAGAATGAATCAGACAGTGGTGGCGTAAGACCCTATGCACTACCTCACTTTTGCCCACTCATTGTAGAATCTCAAATCTCTGGATTTGTAAAAAGCACTCTGGACTTTTTAACTTCCCACTGGAACCAAATCCTGTGGTTCCTTTTTCAGCTGCATTTCATAAAAACTGGGCTAAATGAGGTCAATGTAGTGTAGAATTCAGGATTCAGCTGAAATAGATACCCAATCCTGCTTGCAAGTTTTATTTGACATAAGCTTTGTGGACTGGACTTTTCGTTAATTTTTTGTGAATTTTTTTTTTTTGGCCCATAGGAACCAATGGACCTGTCAAAATCTGACAGCTCCATGCTTTCCTATGGGGGAGAAAACAATTCACCATAAATTAATGAAAGTTCAGATCAAAGCCACGACTTAGGGGGTCCTCTAACGAACCCAAGCATTTAGAACAGTTGCTGAGTCTTCGTTAATTTCTTGTGAATTTTTTCTTCCCCCATAGGAAATAATGGAGCTGTCAGATTTTGACAGCTGTCAAAAGTTGGGGGAAAAAATTCAGAAAAAATTAACGAAAAGTCAGATCAAAGCCAAATTAACTTTTGCATCCGTTTTAGAGGGTGCAGAAGCTAATCCAAGAATTTAAAACCATTTTTGCCCCTTGTATGACACATTTAAAATTGCAAAAATTGACTTCGCAAAGCCATTTTTGGCTTTGAGTGTATTGAGTCAGCTTCAATACATTCCAATGGAGGATACATTGTTTCGCTTAGCGATGTTTCCTATGGGTTTTTTCGCTTAACAACGGCAATCCGTTCCAATTGGAACGGATTAACCGGTTTCCAATGCATTCCTATGGGAAATGGTGTTTCGCATAGCGATGGTTTCACATAGCGATGTTTTTTTTGGAACCAATTAACATCGCTATGCGAGGCACCACTGTACATTGCTCTGAATGGCTTGCAGCAAGTCACTATCTGTTGGTTCCTAGCTCTGCAGTCTATAACATAGAAATAATACTGGCTTGCCATGTGGGCTTCACTTGGGGAATAAGCACTGTATAAAATATTAGCCCTGGTAGAAACTCGGTTCTAGAACAGGGGCAGCCATTTTGGGTAGAACTGTTTTATCCTTGATGTACAAGCCATCTGCCTAAGAAGCCTGTGTACATGGATCTGAAGTTCTGGCTCTTCAGAATTCTGCCTTGCTCCCTCTTGCCTCTCTGTGATAAAGATTGTATTCATGCTTATACAAAACATACTTTATTTTTACATGCCCCAGAAGGGTCTGCAGCAGGGATAGGGAACGCGTGTCTTTCCAATTGTTGCTGGCCTGTACTTCCTACCATCTCGCACCACTGAGTCTGTTGACTAGGGTTGAGGAGAGCTACAGTCCAACAGCTCCTTGGGAGGCTAAACGTTCCACAATCCTGGTCTACACTATCTGTATGATTATGTTGTTTTAGTCCATTTGGACACTTATCATGGTGTGTAAATGTGAGTTGCATTCCTGTGCCTCCATGTTTGCCATATCATTTCTTAACTTGGTCTTTCAGTATTTCCTCTCGTTTTGATTACCCACCTCCTTTTTTGGTCTTTGGAGGAGCGATATACAATGAGAAGCTTAGACCCAAAATATTTGCAGCAATTCATTTTTCGCAGTCGTTTCCTGGTGGGTGGAATTATTTTGGTGTTTGACATTAGAATTCAGAGAGGGTGTGTGCAGGCATATATAGAATACTTGGTTCAGGGGACACCAGTGGAATAAAAATGGCTGTAGTGACTCATAGGTTTGACTCAGTCCAGTCGCTTCCTTTGGTCAGTATTCGCTGGCTGCTTGAATCACCTTGTGAAGATAATGG